TGACCTGCCTTTAATTTTGTTGCCCTCAAACGTGTGGAAGCATCACAGCCATGACAGGAGGGACTAGAGCTCAAGAAATCCAAAGAGCTGACGATTCCAAGTTTGCAAAAATCAAGATTTTGAAGAATGTTGATGAAGAGGCGAGGCAGTGGAAAAAGTAAGAAAACTAAAGCAATTTTCAAATGTCATGATTTACAAAAAAAAAAAAAAGTTCAAGAAATAGCTAACATAACGAAGAATGTGCCGGTAGAACTCTTAATAAATTACTCCATCAATGGACTTACAAATGAAATCTAGGCTCTTGTGCAAAATTTCCAATCCTATACCATGGATCAAACATTGATTTGGCTTTATTAAGCGAGCCGAGTGTTAGGAGCACCATCTCTGAGATGAAATCCCATGGTAAGTTTTTTTTTTTTTGTTGTCGATGGAAATGCCGGTAATCAAACATATGATTCTACCATAGTTTCTTGATTTTTAATGAGATCTAAATATGCATTGCAAGGAATGAAAACAATTAGAGGAGAAAGTTTAAAGTTGGAATGATGAAGATAGTGATTACGAAGAAAGTGATGAATTGAAATCAAAGGTGATCAAAGAATTCCAAGTGGAAAAAATCACAAAAAAAAAAAATATGACAATTCCCAGTTTGAGATAGAAGAAAAGTGTCCAAGAAACAAAAATGACGACAAAGAACTTACTTCCACCGGTGACAACAAGATAGATAGGAAAAGGGTTGCATCTGGATGGATTGTGTGCGTACCGGATTCCGCACTAGATGAAAGTGGATCGGGGCTCCGCACTCGATTGATGTCACACCCTAAATCCGGGCATGACCGGTCGTGGCTCACAGGGATTTAGCCCAAGGCACACGTAATCCTAAACATGAATCCAAAACCATAAAGAATAAATGTGATGATAGCCCAGAAATAAATAAATCAACACTCAATCCAGTGACATACCACAAGTATAAACAGAAAAACCAACCATAATCAAAACCATCCAAACTTATGGAATATAAACAACCCACATATCAAAATAATCCTAAATGAACCTCAATAAAAATAAAAAGAAATATACACAAATTTGACATAACAATCTAAAACAAAATAAATGAATGTCCTAGAGGTCCATACATCAAGTCTCCGCTATGCCATGAGTCCACTCTAAGTCCTTCTAACACCTGGAAGTGATAAAAACTAAGTTAGCTGATAGCTCAGTGAGTAGCAACGTGGATAGTAAATACAGTTTTGAAAACAGGGTTCAATTCCAAAATAAGATATATATCACAGAAACTAGATTGGCATATAGTTTGGTAAATACAATCTGTTTCAAAAAGAAGGTTCCACAGTTCAACACTTAAAATACTCATGTCTTGCAAGAACATGATAAACAACAGTTTCTACTTAAAACAGATTATAACATGAACACCAATAATTTTCTGGGTACCAATAAAAACAAATAATATGCCACACAGTTCTCAAGGCTATAAGCCCCATTGGATCTAACACCGAACTAAGAGTCATCCTCAGGGTGGCAGCCTGGTCTTTTTCTCAAAGACGATCCGATTGAAGGTCACCTAGCTTTTTTTAAAGGTCTTTTCCTTACAATCGTTGAACACTAGAGTCATCACGGTCCAACCCGGATCTGTTCCATAGTGGCCAGAGTCACTACACGCAGTGAAATAATTTCCCTGGACTAAATACACACATGGTCCCAATAATCAATACACATCAGTTTCACCAAACATGGTAGTTCATCATTATAAACATGAGACCAAAACAAATAGTTTACAGTATGCCAAGTTCACATATGTTTCAGAAATAATTTGATTCCATTGATAATATAATAATTTATCAAAACAGTTTAGTCATGAAATAACAATTTAATTTTCCAACAGTTCAGGGTAGGGGAACATTTATAAAAATATGTAGCATGAAACTACTCACCTGGAAACGAAATAATATAATCCTCGAATAGAGTATGAAAGTCCAACTAGTGCCCTGAACCAATATGAAAACTATACGTCACTACTAATTTAAAAATGCTAAAGAATACGAACTAAATAATCCCAAACTAAAGCGCACTAACACGGCTCAACCCAACTCACCGTTACTCTTAAATATTATCTAAGTTCATGTTCTTCAGGGTCTAAAATCACCAAAGACATAGGTTCCGATCGAAACTTAACTAAAAGTGACTTTAAGATAAAACAAAGTTTTTCCAATCTATTCGCTAACTTTGAAAATTAAAAATCCACTCCACGTTGTTCGAAAAATTCTAAAACCTCCAGATATCAACTAATATATCCTAAGTTTCAAATCCAATTGGTTTCACTTGATTTGCTTATCAAATAAATTATCTACAATTTATTATATCCAAACAGGTTGTTTTCTGCAGCACTTTAAAGAAATTGCCGGTTCTCTTAATATACGCGAGCAATCAATGCAAGACCAAAAATGTAAGAAATTAGACTCGTAACCGGTTCTAATGACGCTGATTTGATAATTTTTGAATTTATACCCAAAGAGAACAACACTTCCAAAGTTACTGTTTCGGACTGGTTTCCTAGACAGATTTGAATACCTCAATTTATATGGATTTTGACTCCCAAAAATTATGAAAAAATTCAGATATGCAATTCAATATGTAATTGATCTAATGTAACAATTTCAATTCAAACTTCATTCGTTTGATATGGTTTCTTGATTTTTAAAGTTTGAGATTCTGTGCAGAATTTTTGAACTAAAAATTACACCATTCTTTATACATGAATTTAACTCCTCAGATTTCTTAACAGTATATACACATATATAATACATACACCCACAACCTCTCCATCATGAATAAAATAATAATAGAATAAGAATAAAAAAAAACAAAAGCAAAAGGAAGAAGAAAGCTAGAGAACACACCCAAAAGTCCATCATTGTTTGCAACCATTTTTTTTTTCTTTTTTTCTCTCAACCCTTCTCTCCCGTCGTTGCTATGCTTACTCCTGCTATATTGTATTGAGCAACCTAGGGTTACTATATATATATATATATATATCTGACCAAATGGCTCTAGTTAATTATCTTTTGTTTTATTTTGTTTTCTCTATCAATTAATTTAAATAACATACAAATATTATTTGATTAAAATATGCTTACTAATTTGTCATTTCTTTTTTTTTTAAATAATAAATCTTGCCTCTAAATTAAAGACTTTCACCATAAATTTATTTTAGGTTTAAAAATTAATTAAAAGACCTCCAATAATTTTAATTTTCACTTTAGGATTCAACATCAAAATATTTAAGATTGTAAAATTATTATTATTTAATTATCTATTTGATTTATATATTCGGGTTCTCACAATTGAACAATCCAAGGATTGAGGTTCTTGCCACAAGAAGTACCGTAAGAGCTGCCTGGCCGGGGTTGGCCGTATAACCCCTCCAGTGTAGGAATTAGTGATCGGAGAAGAAGTGCAGAGAGTTGAGTTTGTAAGTAAGTGATGTTCAGCTTGGATCGATTCAGTTACCTTCAGTGTGAAATTCATGTAGTATATATAGGGTTCCTTGCTTGCTCAAGATGGAGAACCACCTAGTAGTTGTCATAGAATGCATATACTCATTGTAGTCATGCTGATAACAAACTTCATTCTTCTAGTTTAACAGCTTCCCTGATTCTAGGTGTAGGGGACCAGCTGAGGTGGCAACTTGCACATGCACATACTCACAACTTCCACATTTCTCTGCGAGATTTCCTCAGCTCGGTACCTTGGTTCCCAAGTTCGGCCCTAGATGAGGCTTCTGTTAGGATGGGCTGATCCATTCGGATATCTTTGTGTGGGCTCGGCCCACTTTAGTTCGGCCCATAGAGTAGGTCTTGCAGCTCGGCCTAGCCTAGCATCGCGGTTGGATTAGCCTTTCTACTGCGGGTTGAGCCCAAGTGCTTGAAGACTTGGATAGACTGTTGATCATGGAGTTGGGCTCAATTGGCTTGCCCATATATTCATCTAACCCACTTGGATTTGGGCTTTAGTGGATTGGGCCAGTCCAAGGCTAGAATCCGACCCATTTTATATCCAGCCCCTTCAGATTGTATTCAACTGCCAACAAATTAGAGGAAGAAGTTTTTGATATGAAGAAACAACTGCAAGTTCCTAGCAAGAAGAATCTAGCTCTTGATGACCAAATTTGTCGGAAAACAAAGTTTGAAATGTTGATTGACACTTTAGAGTTGAAGAGTATTTTGTTCCTTAGATATCTCTGATCATTGATTACAAGGAAACCTTATCTCTCGGAATCTGGAAGTAGGTAAATATTCCTAGATTCCTTTCCATGGGTAATTTCGCACCTGGCTTTCTATCTTATCGATTAATGGACATTTTTTCTTTATTAGTGGCAGCATGAAATTTGGGTGAACTATGCTTGTGAAGTAATTTAAAGTTTCATGGATGACACATTCACAAAAGAAAAATGAGCAGACCCATATCATCCAATGTTGCTGTAGTTAAGAGAGGTGCATCCCAACCTTGCGGACAATGTTGTTTTAAGGGGGTGACATGATGCAAGTGGAGATTAGTTACTTGGCTAGAACTGATCAGTCAGCAACAGCTAGTTAAGCAGTTAATGGAGTTTGATAGAGTTAGGTAAAGGGATTAGGTAATTGCTTGGAATGGGTGCTAATGAATTAAAATGTTCGTTCATAGGAAAAGGGATTAGGGAACTCTCTCTCTCTCTCTCTCACAATACTCTATTTTTTCTCTTCTGTTAATTCTTGATGACTAATCAGTTCCAGCTCTGTGACTAATCTCCACATTTTGCAGCAAACTCCATTTCAACTCCCCATGTAAATCATTGCTTTGCCAACCCTTGCTTCAAATTACAACATAGAAAAACATACTAACACTACTAACACTGCCAGCTCAAAATTGTTATTTGGCATGTCTATCAGACTTAAGAAAGTCCACCTCTGATCTAGTATCAAGATTAAAAAGTGCACACATTTCAGTGTTGCTTAAACAAATTAATAAAAGAAGCAAGAAACCAACAAGAGAAAATGTAACCAACCTCAAGAGTGTACAATTGCATTCAGCCAAACAAGTCAAGTCACTAAAAGATAAAAAGATAACACCTGCTTTTTCCTTAAATGCTATATCTGCAATTTTATCAGATATTATTTGATCTTGATCCATAATCAAAGCCTCTTTCATGAGCAAAGTGAATGCAGCAGAACTTCTTTTCCAGACTCGGTAACCATTTGATTATTGAAACTCTCAAAACTACAGATTGAGAGGCTTCCCACAAAAAATGGATAAGTAAGGTCAAGAACAAAAGAGGGAACAAACAGCACAGCTGAGCATACCTTTCCAGACCTATTGGAAAAAGATCATACATAATATCTGATCCGCGCACTGTTGCCTATTCATACCTTTCTCGGGACCCTCTTTGGGTTGCCCATGTTTTGCACTTCATCATAATTCATACCTTTTCTTTCTTTTTTTTTTTTAAAAAAAAATAAAATATTTTAATTACAAATACAATCTGAAGTAGAGGAATAACAGGGAAAAAAAGATGCATCGCATATGATCAAAGTCGAACCTGGGTATCATGTCTGATAAGAAAACACCTCATCCCTGCGGTCGAACCAAATCTAGTTGGGATGTTCTAATTTCCTTGGGGTTGGCAAACATGGCAAAGAAAGCCTGCATATTAATGCTGTTGACAAAGAAAAAACCTTAATTTGATTGCATCATCTGAATAGTATTACTTGAACATGACACCTCCATGTGTTACTTGATCTGTAATACTCGTCAGAATCACTTAGAAGTACGTGGAACTATGCATAGTACAGCAATAAGCTATTCCCAGCACCACAAGCAATTAAGTTCGTTCTTGGATGCCAAGCCAGATGCAGTAGCTTAGAATTTAAGTTACAAGAAAAGTCAGTACTTCCCGAGCTAGAGTTTTCATGACCTGAAAAATTGGAGAAAGGAACAGAAGAAGCTGACAACTAAATTAGGAAATGCTATAAGAAACGTAAGCAAAAGCATAAAAAAAGGTGTTAAGAAGTAGAACTTGGGAACTCCAACCTTGTCGATAAAATGCACGAGTCAAGTTGCTGAGGGATGACCTTCTAGCCCTTGAAGCAGCTTGGAGATGTGGCTTCCTGTATTCAAGGACATTAAAAAATCGATGGAAAGATGATGTTTAAGAGATGCAAGGTGACTCTTTTTGTCCAACTGGAATATTAGAACAATGTGCTTCTACTGACTATTTAGGAATCTGGTGAATACTTAAAACTCAATTAACAGGACAGGATTCCCCTACAACAGTCGTGATTACCCGCTTTTGACTTAAGACGGAGTGTAATCACCTGCCTATGACTTGCCAGAAGTGAAAAGGACTGTCTTAGATATTAACCTGTATCATGTTCTTAGCAAAATGACAGCAGAACCTCCATAACACTACACAATGCATTGAGAATGGAAGCATTCTGGCAACTGGAGAGATTGCAAAAGATCTGCATAGCTTAAGGCATCTTATGGAGGCTATCACTATGAAGCAAGAACCATATGATGACAAAGTAGATTCAACAAGTGAATCCGAAATGCTTGGTCTACTTGAAGATTTATAGTCTAAGACTAGCACACTGTTTATTCTCCCATTTATTGAATATGGAAACTGTCAAATTGCTTTAATTGGCAAAGTTATGGTGGTAAAAGGCACCATGTTTGAGGGGTGGATCTGGAGTTCAAAGCATGAAGCTAGTGTCTATGGCCTATGGGCAAGATATACTGAAAGTCTACACTACTACCAAAGAGAAAAATAAATACACAAATAAAAGCCAGGAGCTTTTAAACAAGAAATTGTTGGTTCAGTGGTTAAAAATTAAAACTCGGCCTTTTGACTTTGAGGTAGTGTGTTCAAACCTGAGGGCAACCAACCACTTTGTGCGGATAATGTCAAAAGTTAGGTTTGTATCCAATGTACCCCTCCCACCCAGATCCTCATTCAATGGGAACTATACTGGGCATATTTTTTTAAAATAAAAATCAGGAGCTTACAACCACTAAATTAAAGCAATTACCATCACATTATAATGGAGGCTTCTTCAATAATGTAATTCAAGCATCAGTAGGTAGATTTTCATTTTCACATGATATTCAGTGGTCAGATAATTGAGACAATGAAAATAAAAGGCTACCTGCACGGATTTTTGCTAGCTTCCATTGTGATTCCTTCTTCACTTCCAACTCCATTGGAAAAAATACGCAGTAGGTTGCTGAGTTTAAAAATACAAATCATTATGCATGGAAAATGCAAGAAATAATAGGTAGATCACAAGTGTCCAATGTGTTGATAAGAACCTAGAGTTCCTGTTAAAGAAGGACAAACCTATAAGATCCAGTTGCAAAATGAAGTCCATCTCCACTGAGGCAGCAATCAAATTTATCAAATATTGCGTCATTGTTATACAAATCACATAACTGTGCAATACATAGTAAGTTGAGTTATCAGCTATGGAAGATACAGAAACACAAATTTCTTTCTCATGAAACTATCAATAATGAGATTACTAAAAAATAAAAGAAACTTTATAACTTGTTTGGAGGAATATTTATTTGTCATAGATGAGAAAACTCAACATGATGCCAATGAACATTCCTTCAAGAACTGGTTCAGTGATAATCAACAGGAGAAGCTCAACAGATGGATCAATACTCAGCCTTCGAAATTTTTTAAGCCCCTCGAGAACTTCAAAAACAGACAATAGCTCCATATTAATTGTTCCATGTTCTATAACTTTTGTCCAATGTACACCATCCATTTCTTCTTCGGAGCCTCATTAGCTCCATATTAACAATGTCCTCTTCATACCCTCATCAGCTTCCTGGCATTGCCCATGATGGTAGTCCATCTTAAAAAGTTAGCTTCTAATCTGCTGATATCTTATGGACCCCTAACGTCCCAACTTGGGACTCAGTTGAAGAACAACATTCTTCTCCTGAAGTTTCCTTTTTCCATGATTCATTCTTGTTTATATCATTTTGCCAACCATTTCCGTCACCTGACAAGTTGGACTGCTCTTCAAGGTTTTGGGAACTAACCCTTTCAAGTTTTAAGTGTACCACAAACAATTTATCCTATAGTCAGAAGAAACTTGAATGATTGTGAAGTACTCACCTCCTAGTCATCAATCTCTTCTTCCCAGATCTTAATGCTATTCATTCAATAGGAATAACACAGGGTTAAATAGATTTTGGAATAAGATCCAAGAAGTGCATCATCATTTATTTTACATTCCCATTTCAGTAACTTTATGGCAGAATCTCCTATGATTTTCTTTCTTTCTATTTTTTTTTTTTATGATTTTCTTTTTTTCTTTTTTTTTTTTTTTTTTTTTTGTTTCTTCCCCTTCTTTCATTTCTCAATGTTTGGTGACAAAGCTGCTGACATTGTTCGCGTTCAGGCAGTATCTTGAACAAAAGTTTTCTCAAACCTTTAAAGACTACATGGAAGACAATACGATTCAGACATGTAGATGGTGCTCCTTTTGTGCATTTTGAAAGAACCAGGGGACCCGCTCCTTGTACCTCATATCTTAGTTCAACAAAATTCAACTTTGCAATAACAGAGTTTGGACATTTGACACCCAATAATCTCAGCTGTTGGTTTCTCCAGGATATCTACAGAATATACATTATGGGCGTGTTTGATTAGTAGGATTATAGTATAGGATTGGGATTGTTAGTCCATGGATTCACAATCCCATGTTTGATTACAAATTTTATTAACCGGATTACCTGTACGGTGGATATTCAATCTGACAAAATTAGTGAATTTTTAATATTGAGAGGGGCTGGGATCATAATTTCAAGTATGAAAGAAAAAGAAAACAAAATGAATACATAATAAATGGTTATCTCACTAATTTAATTAGATAACTAATAATACACTAATTCATGGGATTATTAATCATTTTACTATTAATCATGTTAGTCAAACAAGGCCTATATCTAGAGAATATCTACAATATTCTCACAGGATAATATCTATACAATATCTCTATAATATACATAATATCTAGAGAATATCTACAACATTCTCACACCAATAATGTCAAACCAATACATCAACATTCAGGTAAAACAATAGAGAATAATTTCATTGCAATACGGAGTTTATGCAATACAAATAATAATTATATGAAATATATTCACTTTTTTAAAAATGAAATGCTTATTCATGCTTTTTTAGTGCAAAATCATCACAGATATAGATTAATGAGGATCAATTATATTTCTCATTGAAAAATATTTTACCACTACCAATATGCTGTAGTAGAAATTTTATTTAAAATATTTTTTTCATTTAAAATATTTCAGAGTTCTTTTTTTCGTCAATTAATTTGTAAGTTATAAAGATGTTCAAAGATAAGAAACAACTGAGCATTTCTGTAAAGAATGCCATGAAACTATTTTAGCATTATCAAAGTCTGGAGCTACAAAATGACAATGTTTCCATCACAAGCAAATCATTCGACCTGCCGGAATTGAACCAGCGACCTAGAGGATCAGTCCTCTGCTCTTTCCACTGAGCTAAGGTTGACTTTGGACACCTCTTCTACCTCAATGAATTCAAGCACTTCCATTATCCCCACACAGAATCATTCTAATGAAGAAAATTAGTACGACTTTTGCAGCAAAGAGGGAAGCACTCAGTTATGTTGCCATGAGAACAGCTACCACAGGTTCCCTTGGCATTTGCTTGTTTCTACAGCAATTAATCTAAGGAGATAGGATGAATCAAATAACAAGCAGAATAGGTGATGCAGGACAGCGCTGTAAGGGCTGTTCTGGGGATGTGAAAGTGCTGAAATTTAAGAAAGAAAGAAAGAAAGAAAGGAGGAGAAGAAGATAGGTATAGGAATCACTCCTAGAATCCCTTAGGCATCACACCTAGGGTTTGATTGCGTCACACAATCCATAAGAAAGCTTCAAAGCTCTAAAAATTCTCTAAAAGTCTATTGAATTAATAGCATTACATGACTTTATATAGAACTAAGAGACTTCCTAAACCAACTAGAACCAGAAAAAGGAAACTGCTATAATATCTTAGCCTTCCAAAACTAACTTAAGACCAAATAAGAAACATAAATTTTTTTTGATAAAAAATAAATAAAACCTAATTAAATAATTTGACCCACAAGATGACCCATGGGCAACTTGCATAACATATGTCTAGAAATTATGAAATTACCAAAATACCCTAAACTAAAATAATAATAATAATAGAACATCACTCATAAGCCTAAAACATAACTATCCACGGTCCCAAATAAGTTGCTCATCATCCAATGCATGCCAAATCAAAGCTTGGGCGAGGCATCCCTTCCTTGTCTCTTGTACACCTTAAGAGGCTGCTGCCACTTGCCTCCATCAATAGGATAGATTGATAATAATAAAATAGTCAATGCATCCATCCAGGGGAAAAGAAGAAAGATTAAGACCAATATATGACCCTTTTGCACCATCAAACATGACAATCCATGATAATATTCTTCAACTATTCATCATATATGTGTTCTTACCTTGGGGCGAAGGTGCTCATGAATCTTAAATATTGCAACGGGAGAAGTCTCCATATGCATATCCCATAGCTAAAAAAGGAAAGTAAATTTATTAGTATACTTGCTAAAAATTCCTTGGTCCACTTCAAGTTCATAATGAGATGATGAACAAACAGAAAATAGTATACTAGATGACGGAAGAAAAATGGTAAGATACATTGCCCACTTAATCTACAGTCAAATATGGATCATTCATGTGTGTTCACACCCAAATAGAAAGAAAAACTTAGGCATATAACCAAAATTATAGACTGAGAATTGCAAACAGAGGCACGAGAACAAAAAATAGCCGTCTTCAATTAATCAGCATGTGTGGATGTGTGTACTTTTCAATTAGAAAAGACCAAGAAAACTAATAACATTCCTACGATTGTCCCCAAGAATCCAATGCCATGGCTCATGGGGGCTGCCTTATTATAACTAAACAAAACAAGATGCCATATATCATGTTGCAAAGCTTGACATGCACTGTTGGGCCCCTTTTCTAACAACTTAGCTTTTGGGACTGGTGGTTATCTAACATGGTATAGCTCCAGTGGGGAGAGGTCTTTGCCTTTGTTTCCTTGTTTGTATTTTGTTTCTCTATATGTTTGAATATTCAGATTAGGGGTGGGTGTTGTGTCGTGTTTGTGTCGTGCCATTTTGGGTTCGTGCCAGACTTACCTCAACACTACCCAAGCCATTTATCATTTCATGTTATCGTGTCGTGCCATTTTCGGTGCCATTTTCGGTTTGTGTCCAGTTCATGTCCTGTTAACTTCTCATACCAAAAAGTTTCACCCATAGCTAAAAATATCAAGTGTATGAAAAAATCAAAAAAAATCTCCACAAGTTGAATTTAATGAAACTAATCTCTACTAAATGAAAATCCTTCATAAGAATAATTGATTTCAATTCAATTTTAATTTCCTAATGTACAAAAATTATATTCTATTATTGTATTTTTTACTATATTAACCCTATAATAGTAGATAAAAAAAATACATTATATTCAATTAAAAGCATATATATTTATAAACTTATATTAGCCTTAAAATCCTATTTACATGCTTTTTAATAAGTTAGAATGAGTGACATAAGGGATTTGAAAATGTCATGGAACTCCTTGGCGAAAGTAATATTAAATGTGTAACTAATTTTTCATTAAACGGATTATCCATGTCAGCTTCATATTATGCAGGTTCCATTAGGGGTGGACATTCTTCGGGCCTAGTTGGGTTTAGGCCGGGCTGACACTACATAATAATGGACTTTGTGTCTTCTGTTAAAACCTATCACCTACTTCACCCACTTAAACCTACTCCACTAAACCTAACCCACTACACCACTACCACCTCACCTAGAGCAAGGTTAACAACTTAGTCATTCTGCTTCACTGGCGGGCGGCAGTCTCGTTTTGGCCGCCCGCCGGACCTCTACTCATACCTTCCATCCGCTGCCACAAATCCCATAACTGAATCATCGGAATAATCGCCGTCGTCCACGGCTTCACCGGCGAGTCGAGCTGGCTCATTCAGCTCACCTCCGTCCTCTTCGCCAAGTCCGGCTTCGCCACTTGCGCCATATTCAGACCCAAATCAACCTCAGCTTCTCTACCATGGCAAGACATGTTCCGATCTGCCTTCGTTCGCAAACCCGACTGCGTGAAGACCTAGGGTTTTGGATTCTGCTTGCTTCATCTTCAACGAAGAGAGCAGCCCTCAAAACCGAAATGCCCAAGCAAATCCATGAGATCAAGGACTTCCTTCTCACTGCCAGAAGGAAGGATGCACGTTCTGTGAAAATCAAAAGGAGCAAAGAAGTTGCGAAGTTCAAGGTTCGTTGCTCCAAGTACCTCTACACACTCTGTGTGTTTGACTCAGAGAAGGCTGACAAGTTGAAGCAATCCCTTCCTCCAGGTTTGAGCGTGCAAGACCTGTGAATCAAGTTGAGATGGAGTTGGAAGCGTAATTTGAAGGCCTTGTTTATTTAGAGTTGTGCTTTTGCAACTTATCAGATTTTATTAAAAAAAAAAAAAAAAAAGCACTTGTTTGTGATGGTTGCTATCACCCACTCTCTCAAACAGATTCTCTCTCCCATGTGACCCACTCTCCCACCTATCCTCTTTCTTTCTTTTCCTTTGTTTTATATTTATTTTACTCCATTTTTTTTTTGAAAAGCAACCGACACCTCCTCTGGTTTGCACACCCCTCCATTATTTTATGTTTCTTTTATTTTTATTCTTAAACACCACCGCAACATTCCACCCACCAGCCTGCTTTCTCCATTAATACATTTTTATTCTTATTATTTTTATTTTTCTTATTATTCCCCCCAAAAAAAAAAAAAAAAAAAAAAAAAAAAAAAAAAAAAAAAACATCCACCGCCTAAACTTTATGTTTTATTATCACTTTCTTTTTTATTATCACGTTTCATTGGTGCTCTTGCCAAAATTTCAAATTTGCACAACAACCCATATTTTATTCATCTCAGGGATCACTCCCGATCACCATTTTACACAAAAAAAAAAAAAAAAAAAAAAAAAACAAACCATCACAACAAACCAAACCACCACACCAAAAGAGTTGTTTTCTTTTCTGCAGACGGCCGCCAACCGACCTCACTTCTTCGCCTATTCCGCCGGTCTCTTCTTCTTGCCTCCGTCTTGGGCGGCCCTTGACGGTGCTGCCTCCGTGTTTTCCACGCCGCCGAGCACGTTCACTCCCCCATACTCTTCCACTGCAGCATATGGCGGCCCTCCAAATCGGAACATCACGGTGGCCTTCCGCTTCAGTTCCTTATTTTCTGCCTTTAGCACGCTTATCTCTGCTCGCGTATCCTTATACATGCGTTGGAGCAGAGCCAGCTGGGAGTTTAAATGCTACACCTCATTTGTCCTACTCTGCAGCCGGTTCGACAAGTTTGTGACCGCCGTCATGCTTTCCACACATGCCTTCAGAGTATACTGATTGGCCTCCACATCCGACTGCACTGCCATTCTTTGCTCCACCGACCGCACCAGAAAGTTCAACGGAGCAAACTCCGGGGCGCTTGGTTGAGTTTCCAGTGCCACCGCACCAGTTCTCTCTCTCGTTGACTCGTTGAGGTAAATCTAAAAATTCCCTAGATATTGTGTTAAAACCTATCACCTACTTCACCCACTTAAACCTACTCCACTAAACCTAACCCACTACACCACTACCATCTCACCTACTCCACTAAACCTAACCCACTACACCACTACCATCTCACCTACTCCACTAAACCTAACCCACTACACCACTACCATCTCACCTACTCCACTAAACCTAACCCACTACACCACTACCATCTCACCTACTCCACTAAACCTAACCCACTACACCACTACCATCTCACCTACTCCACTAAACCTAACCCACTACACCACTACCATCTCACCTACTCCACTAAACCTAACCCACTACACCACTACCATCTCACCTACTCCACTAAACCTAACCCACTACACCACTACCATCTCACCTACTCCACTAAACCTAACCCACTACACCACTACCATCTCACCTACTCCACTAAACCTAACCCACTACACCACTACCATCTCACCTACTCCACTAAACCTAACCCACTACACCACTACCATCTCACCTACTCCACTAAACCTAACCCACTACACCACTACCATCTCACCTACTCCACTAAACCTAACCCACTACACCACTACCATCTCACCTACTCCACTAAACCTAACCCACTACACCACTACCATCTCACCTACTCCACTAAACCTAACCCACTACACCACTACCATCTCACCTACTCCACTAAACCTAACCCACTACACCACTACCATCTCACCTACTCCACTAAACCTAACCCACTACACCACTACCATCTCACCTACTCCACTAAACCTAACCCACTACACCACTACCATCTCACCTACTCCACTAAACCTAACCCACTACACCACTACCATCTCACCTACTCCACTAAACCTAACCCACTACACCACTACCATCTCACCTACTCCACTAAACCTAACCCACTACACCACTACCACCTCCACTTCACCTACTCCTTACCTACTACACACTCACCCTCTTCTATATATAGGAATCATGAATCATTGTAATATATATAACATAATATCAGTCAATAATATACATCAATTTATCTTACATCTTCCAAGCTTGGCCTAGCCCTAACATTGGGCCACTACATTTGCCCAAGCCTAGCTTAAAAAATAATTATAAATCCCAAGCCCACCCATCATGCTATATGTTAAAAAAAAAAAACATTTTGTAATTAAATTCAATCACATGTTATATTTCTTAAATAAATATACTGACATCATTATAGATTAAAGGATTTTGTGTATAAATTGAAAGATTTCTTAAACAAATTTAATCACACATCACCACAAATGTGAGTTATTGTGAGTTATAATAAAATCAACAAAGATAAAGTATAGATGCTAAATATATATATATATATATTAATATATTATAATTAATTAATTAATTTAATAGCGGGTCAGACCGGGTTGGGTTGGAAGTATAAATCACATGCCTAGCCCATCAATATATTAGGCTAAAAATATTAGCTCAGCCCCACCCTATGGGCTACAACAACCTCCCCAAATCCTCTAAAAAATAGTACTGGGCCGGGCGGGCCAATGGGCCAATGTCCGCCCCTAGGTTCCATGCTAACCTGATCTATTTAATATTTGTGTTATTGGGTCATGTCATATAGGTGTTCATGTCGGAAAATGGTCACTCCTAACCCGCTAACTTCGTGTACAGTTTTGAGTCGTGTTATCTTGTCATGTCGAAAATTCCCATCGTTAATTTGGATCTCCACATGCAAGACGGGAAATGCATCAGGGAGGGTGTTGGAGAGTTTAATATGTATTGTTGAGCCTGTTTCCTAGTAGCTTAACCATTTGGGACTAGTGATAATCTAACATATCAAATAGAAACACATGGAAACATGCAACCATACTCACTTGGAGAAAGAAAACAACTAGTTAATTTATCATCATTGAGAGGATAACGAAAATATGAAGGAGAAATTCTAGATTGAGAAAATTTAAATTCTCAAGTTCATACTCAATTGAGTAGTTAAAAGACCTTCAAATTCATATAATCACGACTTAGAATGTGTCTTCCATCAGTTGAAAACTTTATGTCTGATATAGATGCGATGATTTCCGTGAAAAATGATTTAGAGCCACGGGATTCCCCATCTCGAAATCTGTAAAAGCAGACTTCAAACTATAAATTTAAAATGGCACTATGGTTATTTAGGATGAAGAAAAGAATAAAAAGTACAAAACAAATGATAAGCCAAAAATGAGAGGGAAGTCATAAACATGAGATCATGAAATGAGGGGGGGAAAAAAAAAAGTAGAGAGCACAAATAAAAATAAAAAATTCATACAAAACTCACATCCTTGCACTGTGATCACATAATGCTGACTGCCGCATGTCTACTAGCCGAATAAATCCCCTTGAACTGCTGTAAGTGAGCAGATTACAGTGAAGTGGATGAAATTCAGCAGATGTTATCACCTCTGAGTAAGAATTGAAAAGATCCATCATAAAAAGATACTTAGAATTGGGCCTTAAGAAATTAACATAAGTACTTCCAAATGTGCCATCAATTTGTTAATTAATCATGAGAGCACTGTTGCGTATTGATCAATGAAAAAAATGACATAGGCCATAATAAAAAATAAAAAAATAAAAAAATAAATAAATGAATAAATAAATATGCTAACAAGCAATTCTTCAAATTTTAAGTCCACATACATTAAGATGAATGCAGATAGATATATAGCCTTTGCATCATTATGCAAGCAGAAGGATGATTCATTCATCTCGACTATTTTGAGACTTATAACTATACACTAAAGGCATGTTTGGGGTACCTTTTGGCTGTGGAATCTTCAAAGGACTTCACAGGCATGCCTTTGCCAAAAGGAAGTTCGAACAAAAATTATGTTTGGCAATCACACACCTAACATATATATATATACATTACTGTCAGGGATTCATAAATGAAACAACAATGAAGAGGAAAATAGGTAGAAAAATATATTTTTAATGATAAAATTGGTATTCAAAGTTCGAACCATCCTTCATTGAAATGGTTTCTTGACTTCCAGGGAAGTCATTTTCAAAACTACACAGGTAGCTTCTCCTAAATGGGCTTCTTCCAAAAGCTCATCTGCATAAGTTTAGCAAACATTTATTTGTGCAAGTCCTTTTGGGCTGGAAAGTCATCCTAGAAAGATACCCCAAATGCTACCTAAGTATCTCATGAATATTGATTCAATGGTCCTTGGCAACAAGTGCTTGGGTTCTGAATACATATGCAGGTGTCTAGGCATGAATCTATGTATGTATGCATGTCCATCTAGAACATTCCATATTGCAATCATGACAAACACATCACTTGTTTAGATCACAGCAAATCAAATAAGAGGTTTAACAGCCTCCGAGATAATTGAAACCTTATCAGATGGAATTGTGTACGCTAACAGATGCACCATATGTTGTCCTTTCTTTGAACTACTAATGACAACTTGTACATTTTTTTAGCCCATTTATTCAATACGCATAAGAGAGTACATGACAAAGCGAATTAAAACCTAGTATCATCTCATTCCTTTTTTATCCCCAAAAATTCAAGCAAGGTGCATACCTCTCTAAAAAGCCAGGAAAAAATATTTTTGAACCTTTTCTCCTCCACATTTTGCAATGCCTTCAGCCTCAAATCTATATAGTTGTTTTAGCCAAGTTAGCATGAAAATCATAAACAACCTCAAAATAGAGCAAAACACCTCACACCTTACATATGTTTAGGGAATTGGGGAGCTAGTGACTGCGCAATAATCATCAGCCCCATCCATTGGGGAGAACTCTAGTGTCCATACGCTTACCACCAGGGCCCAATATACATTTTTTGGAACTCATACCCACTTAAAAACTTAAGGCCGGTAAGTGGAGATCCCCATCTAATGTATGTTAAGACCTATCCCTTTTACTATTTATTTGATATGGGACTCTACCTTCACACATACTCTAACAATCTTCCCCTCATGTGTAAACCAAATATCGGGCTTCGCCTTGCTCCCCCTCAAGTTTAATCTATGTTAAAATTCACCTACTACACACCTACCACTACCACCTACTACACACTCACCTACTTCACCTACTCTCCACCTAATCCTCACCTACTACACACTCACCTATTCTCTTCCCACATCCTCTCTTCTATATATAGGAATCATTGTAATATATCAACTACAATCAATCAATAATACATCAATTTTTACATGGTATCAGAGCCTAAGATTTAGGCCTGTATTTCTTTCTCACCGGCGGGCAGCCGGCCGGCAACTTTGCCTTTGCTGCCCGTTGGAATTTTCTACACACCTTCTGTCTCCCTCCAGCTCTCGTTTAAAAAAAAAAAAAAAAAAGAAAAAAAGAAAAAAGGAGTACCAGAGACTCTACGATTTCTTCTACGACTCATCGACCTTGGTCCTCGACGAAGCAGAGAGAATCGGAATCTCAAGAGAAGAGGCTTGTCACAACCTCATATTCGCGACCTGTTTCAATTCATTCGGAGGCATGAAAATCCTCCTCCCAAACATGATCAAACGGATAGATTTCAATATGAATAAAAATAAAGAATACATGTGAGATGGTCAACACACTCAAAACCCACATCACTACCCGAATCCCATGCTCAAGAGTAGTTGAGCCCTCGTTAACCCCGGTGCCTTCACGGTATTTTTTGTCACCAGTGATACAAGCACATATGTGCTTCCTTTTCCAGATAAGAAAGGTAATGCAGCTCTTGAAGGTAACACAACGGTAAGTAAATCAAAACTTATCCCAAAGTTATGATTCAATCACACATTGTGACTAAAACAAACAAACTATCAATTCAAACAGGTTCACAAAATTCATGGTATAATTTCTAAATGATCTATGTATATATGTTGGGCAGCCATTTGCTAGTTACTTGATACACCTATGACCAAAAATCAGTATAATCACAATGGAGATACACTTTGATCTTTACTTCGAGAACCCCATGTGCTTAATTTGCTTAATGTCAAACCTTGATTCCTTTGAACACCATATTACTCGTAGTCAAAATCTGACAGTGGCATCTGGTAAGCATCTTTTGGTTCTCTGTCAGTGATGGAAGGAGGACTATCTTGATTTGACACCGCTCTCTTCTTGCATCTCCGATTTGGTCTATCTTCGTCATCCTGGAAATTTTCATACAGTGATTGAGCAAAAATATAGAAAGCAGAGGAAAATAAAAACGCATTAAAAAAAAAGAGTACAGATGAGAGAGAGGGATGTCCAAGAAGCTTGTGCTTTTGATAGTTACACATTACCCAAGCTGTATGTGAAGATGCATGTTACTGTCTTACTCTTCTGCAGGCTTGGTATTCTTTGTGGGGCACTTGCAACACGTGACATTGAAAATTGTATTCGAAAATGATGACATCTCCAACATGAAACGTCTTGGAAGCAGCCCGGGCCTTGTAATCAATATTCCCAATGATGGTTCAACCAGCGGAGTCCCCAACCTTGTACACTGCTGCCATTGAAACCTTCAAGCCAGCAAACATGGCTACCAACAACAGAGCCACAGCTCTACACCCCACACCCAAATCCATGGCTAAGAGAGAGAGAGAGCAAATCGGGAAAAAAAACAGCAGTGACGAGCAGAAAAGCAGCGCCAGAAACGCCAACGACGACGACGAGTAAGAGTACAACCACGGATATGTGAGAGGCGAGGTGAACGGCGATAGAGGCTAGACGATGATGCGGGTGCCGCCGCCGACATAGCGGAGGAGGGGTGTAAGAAAATGTTGAAGAAGTCAAGGTGTGTGTAGAAAATAAGCGGAATAGGTTGAGGTCCGGCGGGATATTGGGGAAGAGGCTAATCTCCTTCCTGAAGAGAACTCCATCAAGCAGCAACAGCAGCAGCTCGGTGAAGTCGGAACCGAAGACCAAATCATGGGGTCGCAAGGCGGTTTCCGGCGCCTTCATTTGCCTCACCGGCGGTGTTGCTTTGAGTGCCCTTGATGACCTTATCATTTATCATGGCTGTAGCAGCAAGACCATGGAGAGAGCTAGTAAAAACCAGGCAATTATAGATGCCATTGGGGAGCCTATTGTAAGAGGTCCTTGGTACAATGCATCACTTGCAGTTGCTCACAAGAGACATTCTGTATCTTGCTCATTCCCCGTTTCTGGACCCCAAGGTTCTGGAATCTTTCAGTTGAAGGCGGTTCGTAATGGAGATGACAGCTGGTTTTCATTTTTACGGTCACGTGACTGGGAAATCCTTATTATGGAAGCTCTCCTCCATGTTCCCTCAAATGAAGAGAAGCAGCAAACATTCCGGATTAGTGTTTCAGACTTCCCTCCTCCAGTTTGCAAGCCATGTACTGATTGCAGCTCTCCAGAATCAGCAGTCACCAGCAGAGAAGAAATGAAAAGTTGAACTAGTTATATGAGAATGTTACTCATTTTGCCCATGCTGAGAAAATGAAGGGCCAAGGTATGGGAAGAAATATGCTCTGATACCATGTAAAATTTAATGTATAAAGAGAAATAGAGAGAGAATAAATTTACAAGGGTCCGACAAGACTCTGTAAACTGTCCCGACATTGATTCCGGTTAGTTTCTACAAGGGTCCAGCAAGACTCTGTAAACTGTCACAACAACTGTCACAACATTGTCTGCTACAACGGTCCGACATGACCCCATAAACTGTCTTCTACATCGGTCTGACACCGCCACCCAGTGTCTTCTACACCGTTATGACACCACCATACAGTGTCCTCTACAACGTTATGACACCCCCATACAGTGTCCTCTACAACGTTATGACACCACCATCCAGTGTCTTCACCAATGGTCTGACACGACCATACAGTGTCTCCTATCCTCTTTTATTTTTATGTATTTTCTTGTTTTGTTACTCTCTCCAAACTCAAGTTGGTTAGTTCCTATCCCCCTTGAGTTTGCGGGGGGCTGTTAAAATTCACCTACTACACACCTACCACTACCACCTACTACACACTCACCTACTTCACCTACTCTCCACCTAATCCTCACCTACTACACACTCACCTATTCTCTTCCCACATCTTCTCTTCTATATATAGGAATCATTGTAATATATCAACTACAATCAATCAATAATACATCAATTTTTACAATCTATCATCTGCAGGTTCGTCATAGATCATACATACACCCCTCAATCTTGATCTATCTCTCCAATATCGAGTCCATCTTGTCTTACCCACAGACCATGCTCCATTGAGAGCCACCTTACCGCGGTCCAACCTTTCCACGTGCACCAGAAATTTTCTTGCTCCATCAAGAGTCGCCATGGATTTTTCTTACTCCATCGAGAGTCCCCATGAAAGCCCACCAACATCAATGCTCCAAGATAGTCCGCCCATAAATCGTCAGCCATCGACTATGATACTAGTTGTTAGGGAATCGGGAAGCTTATGACTAAGCAACAATCACCAGCCCAATTTGTTAGGGAGAAACTCTAGTGACCATACGCTTAACACTCGGACCCAACATACATTCTTTAAAACTCTTACTCACTTAAGAGCTTAAGCACTGCAAATGGAGAGCCCATCTAATGAATATTAAGACCCAACCCTTATACTATTTATTTTGTGTGTGACTCCACCTTCACACATGCTCCAACGACATACACATAAGAAGATGGGACCCTCCAGCTGCTTTACATGTGCAACACTAACTAGGGAGAATATGGCCTTGAACTCTCAATTGATAACCATTAAAATGTTCCAGCATCTAGCCAATAAAGAAACACGCTGATGAAAACTTGAACACCCAAACACACTTTTAAGGAAACTGAAAACAAATGTGCTAGATAATCTCATATTTTCCCATTTTGGTTGCCTTCAATTTCATCTCATTTGTTCTACTTCAAACCTCCTGCACCAATAGACAACAATAGCATATTCTTTTAGCTCAATGCGAATTTCCTTGAGTTTCTTTCAAATGGAAATAGATAAAGCATGCTCTAGAACCTTCTTCCATAGGGATCATCTGGAAAAAAGCAAGTCATTTAGGGCCATCTGGACAGTTGAAATCTTTAGGTTCTGTGGAAAAGCTAATTAAAAAATTGTACTCTACACGTCTGTTTGCATACATATACACCCAAATGAAGCTCTTCCCAATTTCTCTCTGCATAATTTTCTCAGTGGTTATATGAGGGTGTTCCAAACCCATTTTTCAATCTAGAGTAATCTATATCAGTACGTGCAATCAGCATAAGGTTCTCCCACGAAGCATAAAACAGTTATCCAAGGTGGCACATGGAAAAAATAAAATAAAAATGTTACACACGTATTAGAAAAGAAAGGTAAATGACATTAAGTAGGGTCCATTAAAACCCCCAAACTAGGTGACACGAAACATAATTTCTTTTTACCCTGATAAATGGGCTAAAAATAGTTGATCATACAAAATTTCGAAGCTTGAGCAAGTCAAACTAGGTGACACGAAACAGAGTGGTTGTTTCAGACTTTCAGTTGACAAGGTGATTCAATCAGTAGCTTTGAGAGGAACAAGAGGGAATGATCTAACACCAAAGTTGTGTGTAGGTTGTTGTAAAACCCAAAGAAAAACATTCCAAAATCTATTTTTTTTCTAAATAATTTGATACCAATTAAATGAATTCAGAGGTTCACCTAATGATAATTTCAAACTTTGTGGGTCTAACTTAAAAAATTGAAGTTCTCCAACTATAGAAATATATTATAACTCAAATTTTGTATGACCACTGCAGCCCTTCAAACAACCCTACAACTTATAGAAATATAAGTTCCTTCTTTCAATCTACACAAGAACCTTGTGATTCTAAGACTTGTCGGCAAACAATTCATGATGTCAAAGAACAATCAAGTTTGTAAAAAATACGTATCACAATTATTTATTTATTTATTTATTTATTTTTTGACCAGCAACAAAAAGATTTCATTAAATGTAAAAAAGATACAAAGCAAGGACAAGATGTCCTCTAAGAAAGAACAAGAGAAAAGGACAGAAAACACACTAATACAAACAGCCCTCCAATAATTGGAAATCAAAAAAAGCAAACCCTTTACATCCAAACAAACGAGAGAGCCAAGAAAGAAGTTATACTCGTCTTGGAAGGTTCTTTTGCATAATTAAAATTATCACCTCCCTTTCAATATGTTGGTATTCATCACAAGTAGCACATAAAATAAGAAAATGATGAACCAAACATTGAACAAGAGCATGTGAAACCTAAAAAACAATGACAGAGATGCAATGTATGATTTTGTTCAACAGATGAAGGCAAAAATTACCTGTAAGATCCTCCATGTTTGATGGCTTCATGTCAACAATATTGAAACACTGATCACTGACCTCAAGATTCCACAAGTTTATCCTAAGGTCATCCGCAGAAATAAATGTCTCACCATCACTGCAGAAGAATTAAACTCCTCAATTAATTACGTGAACAATACTAAAGTTTTGCCCTTTTATAACATGAAATATTTTATGGTAAATACGTGGATTGATTCAGACATACAGATGCCTGAACATCTGCGTGTGGAGGGAAACAAACTTAGAAAAGCTTGCTCTTTTAAATCTTTCTGTATTGTAAGCAATAGTAAAACATCATATACAAAGAGGAAAAAATTATCAGCTAAGATATCAACTTCAAATTTACCTATTATTTGAGATAGAGTTAATATTAAAATCATGAGCATGACCATACACCTTTCGACATCTCGCAGGAGCACCATCTCCAATATTTGCTACCTAGTACCATAGCAAACTGGTATTATACACTGTTCAATGTTCCTACTAAAACCCGTAAAATTATGAGAACACAAATGGTAAACAATCGAACAAGTATTTCCACGATACACAAATACCTACCTCGGTATCCCCTTCATGAGATGGCGATGTGTTGTTCGTCATTTTTTCTGTCCATTCTAAAAAATAACCATTACCAAAAGATGGTTTATGTTGCCCACTGACATAACTCGCAGCCAAAAGCGCATTTTCAGGACATACAAATGGGTTGAAGTCCATTTCTTTAACTTTCTTCACTTTATGCTCCTTAACCTTGGTACAAAAACCACAAAAGCAATAAGTCAGCACAACTATAGTAAGTGACTAGTAGTAAATTGACCCCACAGAACACCTCCAGTCTATATATGACTAGAGGTAGACAACTTCGTTTCAGTATCTAGTTTAGTTACAATCTGTTACCTGTAACAGTGAACGAGTGATGTTCTCCACAATAATTAGTAGTTTCTTGCGCCACTTTTTTGTACACAGAACATCCAAAGAAGTAAACAAACCAATAGATCATAAAGAGATCACATATTTTATATTAGTTTCATGTAAGTCAGATCAGAAAATTGAACCCCTTATTGTAATTCTTTGAACTTTTTGACAGAATTTTAGTTCTTTAGATTTTTCTATAAATGGAGCTCCCACTACTCCAATTTTGGGTTCTTACACTGGAGCCTTTCATGCGATGTTTACTATTTTCCTAACCATAAAGATGTACATCAAGTTTGACCTTGCTATTGGGCTGACTTATGCCTATAACCACATATAATTTCATTTAATTTCCCCTCACAAGATTCAGAGTCATCTCTATATCAGATATATATGAAAATTAAAATTAGAATATATCTAATCTGATACATTAATTTCTCCTTTACAACAAGAAAATAAACTGTTGAGTGAAAAATTAGTTATCGTCTAGATTATTTTTACATAACGAAATTCGGAAGTGTAGAACGTAAAATTCTATGAATTTTCGAAGTTTATTTGATATCACAATCAAACAACATGCAAAATGGAAAAGGTAAAGATGTCACAATCATCCTGCAAGGCGGGAACTAAATTTCTTTGAATAGAAATTGAAGGTAAAGGTAAATTCTTAATAATTAGAGTTCTTTTCTCTAAGAATTCCATACCTTCCACAGTTTTATAGTTTTATCATTTGTTGAAAGAATAAACAGTGATCCATTAGGTGTTGCACACCATCTCACTTTGTTAATCTTCTCTTCGATTTCCAAGCTCTTCAGATAATCAAACTATATAAAATGGGAATACATCAGGATCTGCAATGCACATCAAAAGCCAAATATATGCACCATTTTAATTGAAACAGAAATTATAATTTCTAGATGACAAATCGTAACATATAAAGCATACCTCTGGCTCGTGACTCTGAAATTCAGTTTTATATTGGAATTCTGGATGGTGTGTGTCCACAAAATCCAATTTCTCCAAATGAGTATGGTGCTCACCCAAACTCTAAAAGCCAAAAATAAAAAATAAATGGATCATAGTTTCCATTTGTCCAATAAATAAATGGAACTACCAACCTCACAGAGAGAGAGAGAGAGAGAGAGAGAGAGTAATAGCTCTTGCCAGGTGAGATCTAGATAATATATATATAGAAATACTCTCAGTTGATGCATCAATCTCACATCTTTATTAGCCTTCCTTTCAAAAATTACAATACGACCACCTCGATCTCCAACAGCAAGATAATCACCACTCTTCTCGAATTCAATCGACGATATGATGTCAGCTAGAAGAAAAGCCAAAGTTTACAATGTCAGAAATAATGACACAATGACATAATGTCAAAGCAATCCGTCAAAATCAAAAGAAAAAAAGGAAAAAAAAAAATCAAACTACAAATTAGCATAAAATTCCAAGGAATTAGATAAAACAATTATATTTTGTAATATTCTTATACATTCTCCTGTAATGTTAAGGGCAGCCTAGTGCAGGAGGATTCCTGCCACTATGGGGTCTTGTGAGGGTTAGATATATGCAACCTTGCCCCCACGTGCTCAGAGACTATTTTTGCATTTCGTACCTGTGACACAATGGAACAATCTTACTGTTGCGCTAAAGCCCACCCTCATTCAAGGTCAACAAATCTTATTTATTAAAATATGGTTGTGTTCAAGTCTTAAAAGACTTTATTGAGGCTTGCCTCAACTCAAGACTAAGTATTACGGCTTTAATTCTTAGGCTAGACATATACTCCCCAAAGGTTTGCACATCACTGAAGCATGCACCTTAGGTGCACATTATTGTTACACTTATGAAGAGATTGTCTTAGGCTTTTGTTACACTTAGTCTGGTAGATGGTTTGAGCAAAAAATAAAAAAGAACCCCTTTTGCAACTATAATCTATAGGACTAATTGACCAATCAAGAAAATGCACAAAGTTAATGCTCAAGTGAGAAGTTAAATCACTAAAACTAAGAATGTCAATTTCACTTTCAATTAAGGCAAGCTTCCTTCTCTATAGTGAAATGTCAATTTCATCTTCTCTTTTTCTTTTTCTTCATTAAACCTTACTTTATTTTATTTTTATTTTGATAGATAGTACTTGAATAGCAATATAGAAATCAAAAACTACAAATAGAAAGGAAGGGAAAGAAGGACATGTAGGGTTTGGTCACTAAAGTAAGAGCAGTTTGCAACAATTCATTATAAGGAATAGAGGGTTTGGTTTTGTCGCATTATTGGCACGTTTAAATTCTATATCAGTTTTGGTGTTACCATATCTTACAGTTTTCTTGTGCAACCACCCATACTTGATATTTGTGGATATTTGTGAAAAGAAAAGGAAAGGAAAAGGTGAATGAAATAGAAGCTATTTGTTCACAAATTTCCTTCCCTTCTCCTTTTCTTCCACAAATTCTTTCAATAGTCCTTGGTAAAAGACCGGAAACCCGTGCGGTGTTGGTGCTAAGGTCCTTTCGATTAGAAGCCGGTAAATTTGATGGTGTTTAGGTGATGCTTAGTGAAAGTCACTAGTAGAGTGTTGCTTCTAATAGCTCACTAGAATAGGGATTGCTTAGCGATGACCACTGGTAGATACATGTACTTGGGAGGATTCACCGGGTTGATAGTAATGAAATTGAAAAACATTATCTTTATGACGATGTTTGATTTTTGGTCATCGGAATTGACATAACCCTTTTTATGAAATGAGAAATCATTTTGAGCATACTATACATATGTAGCATCATGATCATGTGCATGTGTAGAGATATATTACATTGCGAAAGATTACCCTATTGGACTACATGTTCACCCTACGTGGCTGAAATCTTTTTCAGGTATTGATGGCGTGTCCCACCCTTGAGGCGAGGCATGAGATGTGCGCATGAGTTGAGAAAGAGTACTTTTGATTTGTTGGCCTTGGGCCCTCTTTTTATATAGGCCGAGTGCCATCTTTCGTAAGGGCTATACCCTTTTTATTTGATGTAAGTTTTAGGGTATTTTAGTTTACATTTAACTGTTGTTGCTTTTGGATTACGTACTGTATATTAACTCCACTTAGATGTTAACTTAAATATAGGATGTATAACATTGACATACATTTATACAAGAGAGGCCTTTTGATTATATTTAGGCTCATTTTGGGATATTCTAAATAAGTGCACTTTTTGACTTTTTATGAAATATGGATTAGGTTTGAAGTGATGTGGTAGAGAGGTGATGTGACTTAAATAAGATGATGTGACTTAAATAGGATAGTGACTTTTTAACTTTTTGACTTTTTTTTAAGATGCCAAACTTAGCCTTATTATTGTCTTTTCTTTATCATTTATGATTATTTCTCGTAGGTCGGATTGTGTAAATCCAGGATGTGACACAACTATTCACACATAATATGAAAGTATCAATATGTACTTTGACCAAAAGTAGCATTTGTTGCTTTTTTCTAATATAAAAATCATAGAGGTAGAATTTTTATTTATATAAATTATTTCAACCAATAAAAAGCCTTAAAATGACTGTCTAATCAGTCATACACTAAGATCCAAATTATACAACTCCCAAACTAATATGAAGTCATCGAAATAAGCATTAAGAAATAACTAATATAGATTTATTGATTTTCTGTATTTTCTTTTTTATTTTTTTATTTTTTTATTTTTTGGTGGCTAAACTTTGGTCCCCTCTAAACAAAATTTATGGCATAGTCCATGCTCATAAAACTTTGTCAAACACAATGCCACTTCAACTAAACCTAGGGTCATAGCATGTCAGGTGAATTAAAGTTATGCAGACATTACTCCAGGTTCATAATCCATCACCATTGGATCATATTCTAGGTTCAAAAACCAAGAAAATGTGTAAACAATTGCAGTTCACACAAAAGCAATATACATATGATTCAGTGTTGTCACCCTATGTTTGGAAATTTAGGAGAGAAAATAAAAGATTGTGTTTGCCATATCTGATAGCGGAATTTATCAATTATCATTCACTTTCATATTTCTCAATCACCTAACACAAAATCATAATATTTCAACTTTCATAATAGCATAGAACACCACTGCGCCAGTTTAATATATTGGACAGGAATATATCTTATGCAAATATAGCATTCAGGGGGGAATTCGTAATTTCTCAAACCTCAGGGGTATCTGTAATTTAGCCAAACCTCGAGGGGTGTATATGTAATTTGCCCTAATTAAAATAACTTTTATATTTTCATTTCTTTATTACTAAATAGACAATTTTAATATTATATAAAATTAGTAATCAATTCTTTTCTTTTCTTTTCTTTTCTCTTACCATCCTGGAGAGATTCGTAGGTTGTGTAAGAGAATTCAATCATTCTACAAAGAGAAATAGGAAAAAAAAAAAAACTTCAAATCACTCAATCCAAACATGATACATATATACACACATACATATTTGCAGAGAGAGAGAGAGAGAGAGTAACCATCTTGAACGTCCTCTCCGGGACTTCGTTCGCCGAAAACCTGAGAAAATTTCCACACCAAAGAGGAAGGAGAAGACTCTGTGCTCAAAGTCATGGCTACTTCTGATTCTGACTACGACATCGCTGCGTTCGAGCTCATGCTGAGATCGCCATTAAAGCTTACACTCGCAATTGGTGTGTGCAAGCAAACACACAGACACACATTCTCAGTGAGATTCTGATTCTGATTCTGATTTTGATAATTCTGAGCTTTCTTATCCACTCGATTTCCCGGAAAATGTTTCTCAGTCGCGTCACGATATGCAAAATGTCGAAAAAACCAATTTGTCTTCTTGTCTCTGAATCAACTGAGTTTAGTGGGCTTAGGTTTGAGGCCCATCGTTTAAAAGGCTTAGCCTAAGTCCATTACATTATTAAGGCCCTTTTTTTTTTGGGGGTAATTTTTTGGAAGCAAAACCAAACATGCCATAAGTAAGGGTGCGTGGTGCGGTTTGATACATTTTAAATATAAAATTTAAATCAAATTATGAATGGCGGATTGTTAACTAATCAAATCGAAGTCTAAGCAGTTTAGGTTGTTTCAATTTGCTAATTGATTGAAAAATAATATTAAATAATTATCAAGTACTTATATAATATATAACACTAATTTACATAATATATATATATATATATAACACTAACTAATTTTTGCAAAATATTATATATAACACTAATTTGTAATAAATTTTAGGGTCATCTACCAACCAGTCCTTTCTTTATTTTATTTTATTTTATCTTATCTTATTACCCATTAGGTCCTGACTAGAGTCTTATGCACACATAAGTCGGGAGCTTCTATCTACACACACCAAATCCCCTCTATACACACACTTAATGATATTTATTTTTATTATAATTTTATCCCTAAGTGAAATTACTATTTTAGACACCATACCCAATTCAAAACGTCTCAATGCACATCCATCCAGACTTCACATCTATTGAAGCTCCAAGTTCGTAGCTTCTTCCATTAAAGCTGTTGAAGCTGTTGAATTCTTCCTCATTCATCATACATTAAGGTAGAAAGGAAAGCATCAACCTTCCTCATTCATCATACATTAAGCTAGAAGGGAACGCATCAACCTTCCTTATTCATCATTGTTATGGAGGATTTGTCTTCTGAAAATCAGCAAATAAATGTTTATGAGAAACATAGCGAAGAAAATGTGAGTTTCTCTTGTTTTTTTTTTTTTCTAGCGTCGTTCAGATAACCAGAGTCGAATTATATTATTTTGTTCGGAAATCTACTACCGAAATAAGTATTTAATTTCGGAAGTTGCTGTCCGAAATAAGTTAATTTTCACAACATTCAACTTCCAAAATTTTTAAATTAATTCGGACAACTACTTTCGAAAATTAGCATTTTGTTCAACACTGTACTTTCGAATGAAGTAAATTTTTTTTTTCCCATTTTATATTCCAAATTTGCAAATTGCATACCAAATTTACAGTTTCGAATTGCAAATTAATCTTTATAATGCCATTAAAAATTTGTAATGTTATACAAAACATGTAGGAATATGTGCCAACTCAAGGAAGTCAGGTTTGTACGGATTTTGTGTTGGATTACACTACTTAATTCACAATTGAATAGGTTCACTCTACGAAATTATAATGATTACGTTTCGAATTGCTCAACAAATGTAAATGTTTAATAATATTTATTTGACTTTGTAGGTATTCAAAAGTAAGGATGAATTGCTCAATTGGGTACATGAAGTTGGAAAGAGAAATAGTTTGGTCATTGTAATCAAAACATCAGACTATGGTGAAAGGAAAAAAAGACCCAGGAAGTATCTTGCTTGTGAGAGGAGTGGCCAATATAGAGCGACAAAGAAGTTAAAACATGATGGCAACAATATATCAAGAATAACCGGTACGAAGAAGTGTGGTTGTCCTTTTGATATGAGGGCTCACAGGTTTACCACACATGATGAATGGACATTGACCGTAGTATGCGGATTGCATAGCCATCCACCTGCGGAGTACCTTGAGGGACATTCATATGCGGAGAGGCCATCAAAGGATGAGAAAACATTGTTAATGGATATGTCAAAGAGCATGGTTTGGCCAAAAGAAATCCTAGTAACCTTGAAACATCGAGATGCCCTCAATGTAAGCACACTTAAAACCATTTACAATGTACGCCATCGAAAAAAGGTGGTACAGAGAGCTGGAAGATCATAGATGCAACACTTATTAGGTGAATTGGCCAAGTATAATTACATTGAGCGCCATCGATCTGAAGAGTCCACGATGACTGTGACAGACTTGTTTTTGGCACATCCTACCAGTTTGGACTTATCACGGTCTTTCCCACGTATATTAATTATGGATTGCACATATAAAACCAACAGATATCGTCTTCCTCTTCTTGAAATTGTGGGAGTGACAACAACTGAAATGACTTTCTCTGTCGCTTTCGCATACTTACAGTATGAGAGGGCCGATAACTATGCGTGGGTGTTAGTTACATTGCGTGATGTCATGGATGGTTTTGTTGTGCCAACAATTATTGTTACTGACAGAGAGCTAACCTTGATAAATGCCATACAAAAGATATTCTCGAGTGGCAGACATTTATTATGTCGTTGGCATATCAATAAGATTGTATTGACCAAATGCAAGAAAATGTTTGAGACACAACAGAAATGGGAGAAGTTCAACCATGAGTGGAACTCTTTAGTGTATTCATCTTCTGAAATTCAATACAATGAGCGTCTTAAATCATTACTTAAGGAATTTAGTAGTTATCCTGATGCAGTCAAATACGTCATGGATACTTGGTTGGTTCCTTACAAGGAGAAATTTGTAGCGGCATGGACAGACACGTGTATGCATTGTGGCAATGTCACAACGAACCGGTAAGATTACTTTTGTTCAATATGTTATTAATAAGTGCCATGTACTTGATTTTAATTTGACTTACATTGAATTGAACAGGGCTGAGAGTACACATGCAAAACTTAAAAGACAATTGGGTTCATGTCAAGTCTCAATTTAGTCATTATTTGAGAAAATACACAGTCTGCTTGAGTTGCAACACATTGATATCAAGGCTTCATTTGCGAAAAGTCTAACTGTTGTGCAACATCAATTTAAACCTTCTCAGTTCAGGGAGTTACAGGGTAATGTGTCTATCTTTGCATTAGAGTATTTGCTTGTAGAGAGTAAGAGAGCCAATTCCATTGGTATTGATGTTGAAGCTTGTGGATGCGTCCTTCACCACACTCATGGTTTACCTTGTGCCCATGAGATTACTGACTACATCAGACAAGATCGTCCTATACCACTTGCTACCATACACTCGCAGTGGAGGCAACTTCATATCTCCATATGCAAGAAAGAAGAGGAAACGAAGGTGAGTTGTCATGCAGAAGTAGATTTGTTTATGAACAAGTTTAATGAAAGTGATAGAACCATGCAGTTGGAGCTTTTGAAGAAGTTGAAAGAGATTAGATATCCGGGAAGCACTTTTCTTGTTGAGCCGGAGGTGAAGCCCAAAACACGTCCTCGGGATCATAAGAAGATCAACGTTTCTACCCGTCGTGACCCGTGTTCATTTGAGTTAGTGCAATCTGGACATGATTCCGTCTCACCTGGGGACACTCAAATCACTACATTAGCTTCTACTTTGGAAACCAAGAAGAAGCGACCTGTTAAGGGAAAGGAGAAGGTGAATACGAAAGGGAAGGTATACATTACTAGAACAGTGAAACTTGGTGCATATGTTGATGCTTTCCCTTCTGGGTTGAAACCATACATTAAGTTTGTAAAGGATGTAACTACAGATAGGAATTGTGGTTTCAGGGCTATAACTGCTTTAATTGGTCATACAGAAGATGATTGGGCTCAGGTTAGGCGTGATTTGTTGGGTGAGCTGCACACACACAAAGAGGAATACATTACACTTTAAAAGGTTTGAAGAATTGACAAGCATATTGTCATACTTTGAAGACAGTCTTGGATACTCACATTGGATGACTATGCCAGACATGGGGCATATTGTTGCATCGTGCTACGATCTTGTGTTATACCACTTGTCATTACAGCAATGTCTCACCTTTTTACCTCTTAGAACAATGCCAGTACCTCAACTTGATAGACGTAAGATTGCCATTGGGTTTGTCAACGGAAATCATGTCGTCCAGGTATAACAGAAACTTATCAATTTGTGCATGTACAAGAAGTTATGAGGTATAACCACTAACTCAATTGACATTTGGTGCAGGTTTTGTTGCAGCCAGGCCATCCAGTTCCTCCTATAGCCACTAATTGGCGAAAATACCATCACCCTTGCGCTGTCGACTGGGATGATACATATGTGCGCTACATTCAACATTTCAAGGACATTGTTCATGATAATGTAGCTACTCAAGAGACATTTGATGTTGTTGATGTCGCATGACACATGTATGCATTTGACAATGTTAGAATTATGGAAGAAATTAATGGATGTGTTTTTGATGTTGATGTGTTCTGTGGCATGGATTGAATGTTATCGACCATTGTTACCATTCCATTGTAATAAAAAAATATCATTTACAAAATCAACGACCATTGTTACCATTCCATTCTAATAATAAAATGTCATTTTCAATGGTATCAACTATTGTTGCCATTCCATTCTAATAAGAAAATATTAACCACTGTTACCATTACAACAATATCATCTTACAAAAAACACCACAAAAAATTCATCAACTAACAAATAACATGTCACGAATCAGCTGTATGCCTACGCCTAGGCCTACGACTGTATGTCAATGTCGGAGATGAAAAGCGACCTCCAGTATAACTAGGTCCAGTAGAACTAGGTCCAGCTTTGTCAATGTGCTGACCTTCAAGGACATGCGTCATAGTCTCGATAGCCTGGTAAAGTCGATGAGGATGTCGAATCCCCTCCTCATAACCAGTCTCAATAATAGGATGTGAAATCTAGAGTGCATGTGCAATACGCTGCATTTGAAAAGAATATCATATGTTAGGGAACATATCAGAAAATAAAAAGTAAGTTACAAATGCAATAAAGACGATAATATATTACATCGGCATGTTGGCTGAAATCTTGATGGTCATGGACACGCGGTTCATCAATGTGCTCAACATATAGGTGCGTGAGATTCTTATACCAATCCATGTAACCTGGTACACATTCCCAAGGCTGACGAACTAGTGTGCTCCTCCGCTGCTTAGATAACATGTGGTTATCCCAAGCCTCCCAGATCCTATCCAAGTATCTATACATGACTGTATATCATGCAGATATGTTGCCTCGAGCACCACGACTGGGAGCTAGCGGTGCATCTGGGATGGTTTGAACCCTGCCAAACTGCCTCAGAACTCTATCTGGATGATAGGGTTCGACCACGTCTAAGCACTTTAAGCATCCATGGTAGAACGTAACCGGGTTACATAGATGCCGGTCTCTGCAACTGTGGTATGGATCCGAAATAACCTGTAAATGTAAAGTGTTTTTGAATTAAAGTATATAAAGGGTAAGATAAATGGAAAGTGCTAAAATTATCTGAGGACGAGTAAACTTACATCAGTCGCTACCAAACTATCAAGCTCCGCTCGAAAAGATTTCAAATGATCAATGGAGGAACCCGCCTCTCTCCTAGATGCCCAATGGTACATGTGTGGCATGTTTTCATTGTAGCCCATGTTTTGGTGAGGTCGGAATGCTCGGAAGTGCTTATAAATCCACGCCTCCAAAAGAGTCATGTAACCACCCATCTACTTAACACTGGACCAGCTAGCATACCCCAACTGTCTGTATAAAAATGCTAATACAGCAGCACCCCAGGCGTAAGTATGAATGGATCCCAAATCCATCAATAAGCCAAGGTAAACAACAGGAACCCTGCCGCCACTCTTGTCACTGAAGAGCGTACATCCCAACAGAAATAACAAATAAGCTCTAGCAGCGCACTGTATAGCCTCCTCTGAGTCTGAATCTGTGACACAGCAAACTGACTTCGCAACCACTCAAGCCTGACTGAATTTCCACTAGAAGTAGAAACATCTTCATGTGCTACACGTTCAGTAATCCCCAAGCCATAAACCAGTAGTGTAACTCCATGATGATCTGTCACATCTGGTAAGCTGACTGATTTGCCTACAATGGAAAGGCCAAGAATAGTGCCAACATCATCCAGGGTCAAGGTCATCTCACCAACTGTCATGTGAAATGTGTTCGTCTCAAGTTGCCATCTCTCAACAAAACTAGAGATTAGAAGCTTGTTGACGAACCGATAAGTGCAACGAGCTAACTGTGACAGCCCAGACTGCGCAATAATGGCTTTGAATCTGGTGTTGTTGTCTACTGACCACTATGGCCATGCAAGGATCTTCAAAGAGTGATTATGACACTTTAGGGGCCCTCGTTCCTATAACACAAATAATATCTCATTAGAAACTACCATACAACACACATAGGAAAAAAAAAATTCATATACAAAAGAATTTCACTTCTACTCAGGAATGTTTACCTCCCCCTTGTGCTGTCGACTGGGATGATGCATATGTGCGTCGCATTCAACATTTCAAGAACATTATTCATAATAATGTAGCTACTCGAGAGACTTTTGATGTTGTTGATGTCGCATGACACATGTATGCATTTGACAATGTTACAATTATGGAAGAAATTAATGGATGTGTTTTTGATGTTGATGTGTT